TACAAGGGAAGAGAGCAACCAGTGTTTTTTTCTAGCCCAGGCTCTCCTCTTTCTCCCTGCTTTCCCTTCCGTGGGCACATGATGGACAGTCAGCAGGCAATTAGAAAATTCTCTCATGACCTATCTCTCCTGGCTCTGGCTTTTCACCTCCTGTTGCTCAGGAAACCGCAGTCCCACATCACTTCCCTAGGCTCTTGGTGGTGCAGAGTAGTGCAGGACAGCAGTGTTCTGGGAAATGCACAATGGAGAGTCAGGATTAGCAAGCAGCACAGAGAAGGTCAAAAAGAGCCTGGCAGACAGCAGGAACCACCATGGCTGTACAGCCCTTTCCCTGGTGAAATGATCAGACAAACGCTGGCTGTAGTAAAGTTATTAATGGCGGTGCTCAGTTAAGGGCACAAAGCTTAGGAAAACATTCCCGGTGCTGGCCGAGAGCTACGGAGGTGTCAACTTTCACAGCACTGGCCATCAGGCGGCGCCAGCACCGAAGACGTGCTCGAGCCTCTGTGTATCCATCACTAGAAGGTGGTGCATCAAATGGCTGTAACTTACAAATTGCTGCCATTTTCCTGAGCTTTAACAGGTTTCCAGCAAAGCAACAGGAGTAAAAAACTGCTGTTTTCCAGCAGGGTAGGGCAAGTGCTGCTTTGGTGGAGGATGGGGACCATAATTCAGATGTCAGCTGAAATTCTGCCCCTGGTTGTAAACCTGTGCAAAGCTTTTCTGGTGGCCCGTGCTAAAGCATGGTGATCAGCCTGCTCTGCCTGGCGGCAATGGTCAGTGGTTGCCAGGTGTCCTTGGTGGACAGTCTGGAGAGGCTGGATGGAGATCAGCACCACTGCCACCAGCAGCATGTCCCCGATTTGTCTCCTCCCATGTGGTTGTGCAGGGGGAAGATAAACCACCATGTTGCTGCTTGCGAGAGGGGCACCGCATCAGTGCTTCCTGCTGGGGAAGTGCTTCCAGAAGGCTCTCCAGAGCATACAAAGTATTCTTGCAGTACAACAGGACTGCCATTTCTACTGTCCACTGAGTAAGCAAACAAGTCAGTCTGGGGTGCTGCTGGCTCACACTAGGAGAAAAAATGACTCCTGTGTGTCTTAGGCTTGTTTGATACTGACCGTGTGCGATCTGACCAGTATAACCATGCCCTGAACTGGCTCAAACCCACCTGACTGCATAAGCCAGCAGTTCTCTGATATGGCATATAAGGTTAACTGAGCCTCAATGGTATTACAGATATTTATCATCTCAGTATTAGCTTTAGGAAAGCTAAAGGAAAAAAAAAAAGGCCTCTTCTTTAACATCCCCTTTCCCTAAAACAGGATGTTGTAATGAGAGAAAAAAGATTATTTTGCAGTGTTGAAAACTGCGAAGGTTAGAGTAGGTCTGGAGGCTTTTTTGGTTTGTTTTGCACAATGTGTCATACCTGTGCTTTTATGAGACTCCTGAGAACCACGTCTGATGGATGAGCATTTGAGTTCAGAGGCTGTCCTGTTCTTTGAGGGACCACTGGCTCCTAGTGCTGATTCAGATGTCACAATTCATTTGTCGTATCTCAGAATGGTCACCCGCAGGCAGCAATCCTTTCTCATCACTCACTGTACCATTACAAGCCTTGTGGTACCTTCTGTTTAACCAGGAAGGTGAACTGAAAGTCTAACGGGGATCCCTTGCTCCTCTCCAGCTCTAACAGAAGTGACCACCCTGGCACTGAGCGGGTGCTAGGAACATCACTGCTCCTGCATGTTCCCATCTGGGCTGTAACCTCACCACCTTCTACCTGTCACTAGGCGTTTTAGACAGCATCTGAAAGCTCCTACTCTTTCAGTGTAAAGCAACACCTCTGAGGGATGTATCTATACCTACACCCACAGCTTTACAGCAAAGGAGCTCAAGCAGCCCTTCACTTCAACCACCAATAGCACAAATGACCTTCCAGGAGGAAAAGTGGTTGCAAGGCAGGGTTTTCCTCTGGGCCCTGCTAGAAGGATTTCCTACATGCTTCCCCAAATCTTCTGCAAGGTCTCTAGTACCCTCTTCGGGCAGCTCTGGGATATCTGAGACAACCCCTTCCCCCTTGCTCACCCCTAAGCCTCTCTATTGCCCATGCTCCAGGGAGAGGCAGGAAGGCCACTTGGCGCAGACTGTAGCAAGAAGATGACTACACTTCAATGCCCTGACAGCTAGGTTAACTACTTCGGTAAAACACTCCCTGTCATTTCAAATTACCTTGAGATGTTCATAAGTCCTTGTCTCAGAGTGATTTAGGGATGCTGTTGCATACCACTGGACTTTTGGATTTTATCCCAACATCGATTTGAATCTGCATAGAGATGCCTTGCAAATGCAGCTTCCTTACGCTTCTGCTTTGTCACCACAGCGACTGAACTTTGTCAAGTTAAATTTGTCTAATCTCTTTGTCTGTGATCCTTTATTTATTCTCTATTCCTTACTCTTTCCCAAAGCTTCCAGACCCCACTGGAAGGTCTGAGTTCACTCAATGAAGTCAGTGAACTGGATTTAGGCACATATGTGTTTTTGCAGTGTTTAGGTAATATTTTGCACCGGGAAAGTGTTTGACCTCTGCAATGTCAAGTTTTGCTTGTGGGAATGCTTTTTTTCTTTAGCAACATTACTGACAAGGCACTTTCTTTTTAATAGCTGAGCAGATAAACTTCCTATATGAGAGCATGAATTTTCTCTCACTCCTCTTCCCTTTTCTCAGTGTTTCCCATGTGTCTGCATTGCTCTGGTTTAGGTCAGACACAAAGACTCCACAAAACTTACCTGACTTAACCTATCACAGGCACTTGTCATACTACCCGTGCTATGTCACAGATCTGTTGTCTCACTCAGACCTTCCTCATGTCCCACAGGCTGTAAGAAAAAAGAAAACCATGAAGCTTGGTGTGAGGGCTTTGGTCCCACTCAGTGGTGGTGAGCCACAGGAAATCTCTTCCTTCTCCCTTTAGGTATGATGTTTCCCTTAGGTTTCTCTTTACAGGATCAGTTATCCCTAAGAACACATACAGTGTGTATGGCACCATGTATTTACCAGTTCAGTAAGTAGTGTGTTTGGTTTGCCTCCCTAGTACATGAATGTTGCTGTTTTCCAGAGGCACATTGAAGTACGAGGAAAGTCAGACAGGATTGGACAGTGAGGCTACTGGAAAAGTGGGAACTTGGCTCAGGTATCCTCACACTAAATATGTCATCTAACCTATGCTCTGTTGGGAAAGCTTCCTGCTGTCCTTTGAGATCTCAGATAAGCAACAACAGGAACAAAAAGGGCTATGTACTCCTAAACCACTCACATCACACAGTTTTGTCATGTTTAAAAAGGCTTTGTATGTGGCTTTAAAAAATAACTCTCTCCCTACTTAAGCCTGAGTTTGGTTTGTGTCACATGCTTTACTTTTACTACACCTCTCTTCATCACAGGAGCAGGCAACGCAAGAGCCTTAAAGCATCAGATGGTGTTGTCAGGCCCCTGTCAGCCCAGGGTGCCTATGGCTGCAGTGACAAGCACATCATTGCAGCTAACCATCGTTACAGCAAATAGTGCTCTTAGTGTGCATTAAAGCAAGTAAATTAAAAGGGAAAATCATTTTAAGCTTTACAGAGTGTTGACTACCTGTACTCCCTTGAAGGGATTTGAGGTTAGAAATATTTTTTTACAAGTTTTGTTCTTTTCTGACAATACTTGGCAATGCACACAATATGCTTCCCTTTCTCCTAAGCTGACTACAATAGTAAATCAAATAAAGCAGCCTGCCCTATCCTCTCATTCCAGTAAGAGTTCATCTTCTGGACTTCGGGATTTCAGCATTCTTTGCCAAACAAATGGGATGGGTGAGGAAAACTACACGTCAAAAGGAAAATTCTGCATTTTTAGCTGTTGACAAAATTGTTTTGTGGTCAATGAAAAACTTCCCACCACCCAAGGAGCTGGATTACTGCAAGTGTGATGGTGCCTGGATGGGAGCTTGAGTTGGTTTTGGTAACCAACCACCCCCGCACCACTAGTAACCACACAATGTAACCACTGCTGTACATCACAGTGCCTTTTCTGTGCTATAAATAAGAGGATGCATCTGCTTTCTCTGTGTTTATTGCATTACACTGAAGCAAAACGACATGTGGTTATTTGCGGTTACTAGCTGATTATTTCCCCATGTCTAAGGAATACAAGGAGAAGCAATTAAATAGTTTGGGACCCAGTTACTGCAGAAGGGAGGCTTAGGCCTTGTGACAGGAAAGGATGAGGGCAGCCAGCAGGCCTGATATTATCGCCCTTTCCTGGGCATGTGGCCAGAGCAATTTGCTGGGAGTAGCATGGTAAAATCCATGTGCAGGAGATGTTCATCCCTGCCCCAAGTGACCCAGTGGTGGCCACATTCGGTGTTGTCACCCTTTGTGCTGCAAGCTGCACAGAGGAACCTCTCCAAGGTTGTGAAACTCCTCTGGCTCACTCAGGATGGGACTTTCCTTGTGTCTTTCTCAGGCCATAGTCTTTCCAATGCACCAAACCCTCCACTGCTGTGGTTTACACACAAAACAACGCTCATGCCTCTTAAATAGTGACCTCTAAGAAGTCCCTGGAGATGCTTGAAAATGGTTTCCTGCTCATTGTTCATGAGGATGGAGAAGTGGTAGCTGAGATAAAGAGCTGCTGATGCATCTCTGGGCTGGTGCTGCTGGAAGGAGCAAGTCTTATGAATATCAAGCTTAAAGTCATCAGTGTAAAATGTAGTCTTCAAACACAGTGGCCAGAGGAACCCACCTGAAGCAGTGAGGTTGCAAAGTACACCAGGATTTGTTGTTTGGCTTTGATGTATCTGCAGGTTTGATTTAGCTGTAGAAACTCAGTTTGCTAAGGCAATTACTGACACTGATAGCTACATTACATAAGCCATTTTCTTGCCTTTTTTTTTCTTTTACTTTTTCATTTTCCAACTGTGGCTGGAGGCCCAAAAGCGGCAAATCGGTGCTGGCAAGACGTTTGAAGAGCCTGGAGGTTGCATGTCCTCACCAACCTGCCTCTTTGTAGGCGTTGTTGAGGTGAGTGCAGATTTCGTTGGTCACCTTCTCAAAGGAAGCTTTGCAGTCTCCGCCAAATTTCTCCTCCATCAGTTGCAAGATAATGTCACAGATAAGCTAAACAAGGAGGAAGGAAGAAACAACCAGTGTCAACTTTCCTCCACATTAGGGGCATAAGAACAAAATACATATTCTTAGTTGTGATTCTTGGAGAGTGAAAAGAGGTACAAGAACAATTCAGCAGTATATTGCATACAAAGATTGTAATAGGTCATGGAAAAATACGTACAGAACTCACCAAACAATGCAGTTACTACTGCTCTTCTTTTAACTGTCCTGTGTTTAGTTACTGTTGACTGCACCCATCACTTAAAGACAGCAGGACTGTACAGGACAAGGCCAGTTTACTTGGTACAGCCACTGCAGTCCTTCTGACAGTGGATTGTCCCAGAAGTTTACAGGCCACAGGGAGCCCCGTGTTGCACACCTATGGAATACATTGCTTGGGGGGTAAATTCCTTCCTAATCTTTCCTCGAATAGGAATCTAGCACTCTAGTAATGAGGGTTTGCTTTCACAGTCACTAGGTAGATGACATACTTTGAAATGTCAACTGCTTTTCCATGCAGCGTTTATTGTTTTGTATGCACCTTTACCCTCAAAAAGTATTTTCGGGATCTCTGCTGGCAGAAATCCTCACTTATTCTCACACTTCCTGAAAACTGAGCCCACTGCATTGGAAACCACCTTCCTGGTGCCTGAGTGACCTTTGCCAGAAGGTGCCTCTTTTCTGCATTTTGTGCTGTGTGAGGCAGACAAAACAGCTATAAATGCACTCTGCTAGTGGCATCAGGTGGACTTGGGAAACTAATTTGATCCTGTGTTTATTATCTGTGTTTGTTTAGTGGTGGCAATTCTGTTGGTGTTGCTGCTCAATAATAGTTTAGGTTGTTCTAGCAAAGCTCAGTTCCTGCTGCTAGAAAGAAATAGACATCAAGGATTCAAGTCCAGTGTTAAGCTCCTTTTCTATGTCTTGTTATTAAATGTCTTGTTATTAAATAAGTGTGTGATTCCTGTTGCACTGAGAAAACCCACTACAACTCGTGGGCAGCCTCTGCAGCTCCCACCTGAGCAAACCTGCCTGCATCGTATCTGCTGCATAGCCTCCTTCCCAACAGATGCCAGATCACTCACTCCTGCTATTGTCCACCATCAATCATCTCACTTTCCACCTCTCCAGTCTCTGAAGCATATACATATTCTTATATACAAAGCCTGTTTTCCTCAGTTCTACCCCTCAAAGCGAAAGACGTCCTCCCAGTCACAATTACAGTCCCTGGGAAGAGGGCTGCTGGCTCACCCTAAAGTTTTTGGGGTCAATCTTCAGCTGGGTGGCGTGTTTCTTGCCGAGTGGGTTCACTATCCCAAGAAAAGCCTCAGAGTTGTCCAGGTGTTGCACCATGTCATTGATGGCAGTGAAAACCCTCTTGCCGTGCCCTCTGATCTGATCTGACTGTTTCATCTCTTCAGCAGAGTCCATGCCTTTGAAGTGTGAGAAGTAGGACTTGGTGTCTGGATGCTCGGTAAACATCCTGTTGAGAAATGAGAGACATCCTAATTTGTGGACCAAGGCATCAACATAGATATGGCTTCACATTACAGGCCTTGTCTTATGCATTTATTGTCCTTTTGCCTTCTCTTTATTAGAAGGGGCACCTCTTTCCCCTGCATTTCTTGGCTCCTCTTTATCCTCCCATCTGTGCATAGCCCCTATGCCCACTGCAGCCTGTCTCACTTCTCCCCAGGGCACTTCTCTTTGCTCACTCCACCTTAAAACTTACCTATCCTGAGTTTGTTTGCTGCTTCTGAAGTAAACATTTCTTCAGTGTTGACTCAGTGTTAGGCTGAGATAAAAACCACAGAGAACTAAGATGACAATATTCACATCAGGTGAGTGTGACAGGGCAGTATTCCCGAAGATGTGCTGGACAGCAGATACCTCCACTGTGCTCTCGGTGGGTGTTTTCATGGAGAAATCCTACTACTGGTTTTGTTAATTATCCCCTTCCAAGAGCCCATCCCAAAGCTTTCTTACTGCCTGTGATGGACTGTTGTTTGAGTACCAAGTACTGCTCATTTGGTTTGTTCAAAAGTAACACAATTCAATGCCACTTGTAAAGGAATTGTCTTTTTTAATACATCAATTACAGTCATCTTGGTCAAGCTCTTAAAAAAGCAGTTTACTCACCTGGGTAAACCAGTTATCCACCTGACACAGGAATAGCAAATTCTAGATTACATTTCACAGAGTCGCAGAATGGTTGGGCTTGAAGGGACCTATGTAGGTCATCTAGCACAACCTTACTGCTCAAGCCAGTTGCCCAGGACCATGTCCAGACAGCTTTTGAATATCTCCATGGATGGAGACTCTACAACCTCTCTGGGCAACCTGTGCTACTGCTCAGTTGCCGTCACAGTGAAAAGGTGTTTCCTGAAGTTTGGAAAGAATCTCCCATGTTCCAGTTTGTTCCCATTGCCTCTGGTGTTGTCACTGAGTGCCACTGAGAGGATCCTTCTTTGTACCTCCCTTCAGGTTCATACATACATTGACAAGATCCCCCTCAGCCTTCTCTTCTCCAGGCTGAACAGTTCCAGGTTGCGCAACCTCTCCTCACAGGAGACAGACTCCAGTCCCTTCATCATCTCCATGGCCCTTCATTGTATGTCCAGTACATCTCTTGTGCTGGGGAGCACAGAACTTTTCAATAGGCAAGGCTGGAGCTATAGGACACTAAGGCAAAACCTTCTAGAGTAAATTACCCTGGGGAGCCAAGCCACTGTATGCTTACTAGCATTTTATAGCTGCATTTCTGACCCTAACTGTCCTTAGGTTGTGTAGACTGCAGAATCTACGTGACAGTTTCTGAGGCTGATCCAGCCACAGGGTGTGATATACAAGAAAGGCAGAGGTAAAGGTATGATAACCAGAAAAGTACTGGGTTGCTCAGTGCATATGGAAGTGATGCAAGTCCCAGCTGGGAGAGGAATATGAGGAAGGTGAATGGAAGAAACTTGTGTCTTATAGAAGAAGAGAGGAAATCAGAGTGAAAACAGAGAGGAAAGCCCACGGGAAGTGCACAATACACTGGAACAGCTGGGCTTTGGACTGGAAAGGGTGAAGGAAAATCAGAATAGAAATACTTGGGACATGCAAGTTAAAAAGAAAAAAAAAGTTATTATAACAGTTTAGAGGTAAAGAGGAAGAGGGAAATAGGGCCCATGTTTTGTTCCCGTTCTCTTTCATACCACACTTTCTCTTCTTTACCTTAAATGGGTGGGGTAAATAATTTCTTCTTGTCTCTTCTTTCTTTCCCACCTCCTTCTCCCTTTCCTTTTACTTTGCATGGATCTCTCCTCTTCCCCATTTCCTACTTGAGGTGCAATAAACCACAGCAAATCAAAACGTTCCCAGCAAGGGCTGCACAAAAACCATCAGGAAACGCTCCTAGGTGGTAACTCCATCCTTCTTGCCATTCCTTTTTCAACTCTCTGGGGTAGCAGCAAGATGGCTCTTTCCTTACCTGACCAGCACAGTTGTCGCATTGTCCTCGGCATCCACATACATCTTCTCCCAGGCACCACGGGCACTTTGCACCTCTGCTTCAGAGAACGACATTGTGGAGGAGACGTTGGCAACACAGGGCACAGCAGGAGGGAGAAGGGCAGGGAGGTCCTGGCAGGGCGGTTCTGCTCCAGTTCTTTCCTCAGGGCTCTCTAAATACTGGCCCAGGGATTTAAGAGATCTTGAATGAATTCTTTGTATTGGTTCCCCTTGGTCACATTTCTGCAGGCTTTAGGGCTGCCTAATCACTTTTAATCAGGAAAGAAACCAGCCACATGAGGAAGGAGGACAAGCACTCTCACTATGGTGTCAGGTGCCAGAGCAAAGTTTCTGTTGTCTGATGAGAAAAGGGGAAAAAGGGAGTTTTCAGTGGGGAAGAAGCTCCCCTCCCCTCTCACCCTGCCAAAGCCAGTGCTTCCCTTCTTTTTCTTGAGGGCAATCCTTGCCCAAGCACTGGTTTTCCAAGTTTGCTCCCAAGAGGGCTGCTGTGCTGCGGGCACCATGGTGCCCTGCTGTACCCTCTTCCCATCTCTTCTTGGCCCTTCACTCCAAAGATACCACTTCTAGGTCTAGCAACTCTCTCAAGTCCTGCTGTCATGCTACACTCACTACCTTCCCCATAGCCCTCTGGTTTAGCAGGGGCTCGCCCTGAAGCTGCTCCTGACCTCAGTACTGTGCAACTGAGAGGCATCACCAGCCCAAACCAGCAGTGCTGCAGGGATGGTGATGGCAGCATGGGCACAGCATTCATGGCTGCAGTGCCCTGGAAAGCCACCTCATTTTAACACAGGAGGTAAGTAATGAAGGACAGCCAGGCCAAAAGCACAGGCATCACTACTCTCATCCTCTCAGCTTGCAGCTGAGATCACTGTCCTATCCCTAAGCCCTGCCTGCCCAGCAGTGAGAAAGAGATGAGGGGCAGGAGAAAGGCCAGTGTGGAGCTGCAGATGGTGCCTGTGGGCCCGTTATCCTCACAGTCACTTAGAACTGGAGGAAAATAAAATCTTGGATTATCCACACAGCACCCGGGCTTAACCTCTGGCAGGAATGTTCTCATTAAGTCCAGGCCACGCACATGAAAGAAGGGCTAAGGGGCTTGAGGAACTGCTGCTGCTGCTGGGCGCTGAGCGCAGACAAAACCTTGTATTGTTTGGGATGGTTTGGTGGAGGGAAAGAGCCCACACAACAGTGAAATGTGCAGCACAGGGAGCAAAACCAACCCAATACCTGGGGCAGAAGGAAAGTGGTGGTTGCTTGGAGGGGTTGTGTTCCACCACTGCCAAGGAGCGCCTAAAAGGACTTAACTAAAATTCCCTTCCCTTCCCGCACTTTCCCTTTCCACCACAGCAAACAAAAAGTGATCTGATAGAAAGCTGCACAACCTTCTGCTTTCTCATCCCCAAATCCTCAGAAAAATGTCCCAGATTCCAGGAAAACTCGTGGGGGAATGGGGGCTCCCTCTTTGAAGGCAAACACAAACTGAGGAAGTGCTATAGGCTGAGCCCAGCCACCAGCACAAGGATGCAGAGGAAGGAGCAAGGATGGCACTGCAGGCTCCCAGACCTTGGAAGCCAAAACCGCCTGGGACAAACTCAGTGGGGAAAGCACCAAGTTTTTGGCCAAGAGCAGAGTGCACATCAGGTGCTTGTCATGAGTGGCCTGAGAGAGAGCAAGCCCCTGAAAAACGAGCACTCACTTTACGCAAAGGGAAAGGGGCTCAAGCAGGTCCAGAGTATGGAAGCAGAGCTGGCTGTTCTTTGAATGTAAATGTGTATGACTGCGCTTGCAACTTTTCCTCTCTCTGTAGGTGCAGACCCTGGTGCACCCTGACTTGTTGTGAACAGTTCTCAGTGGGAGAAGCTGGAGCGCTGTGGTGAGCTCAACTCTCTGACCTGAGCTGTGGCAGCAATGCACATTGCTCAAGGATGAGTCTTCCCTCTTAGCCTTTTCAGTCTTTTCCTTTGCATCTCTCTTGTTCACCCTTCATTTCTTTCTCCTGTGTTTTCTGTTTGCAGCAGTTCACAAGCAAACTTCAGCTTCCCTATGGGACTTCTCTGCTCTCCCAACCTTGTCTGAGACATTGCACTACAAAGGTGCTCATTCACTCCATAGAGCATCAGACATCCTGTTGTGGGTCAAAAAATACCCAGTTTGAGTTGGGAAATTTCAAGCAAAGTAAAGTATTGACAAATAAGAAACCAACCCACACACAAACACCTCTCTTCACCCTGTCCTAGTCCCTGTGGCACAGGTTACACGCAGGCCCTTTGGCAAGACCATGGGCAGTGCAGGAACTGGGGGCTGGTGCACCAGGATCCTTGTGCTTTCACTGCTCCTTGTGTTGTATTCAACTGCTCCAGCATGGACTCTTCCACCAGTCACTGTTCCTTTGGGTACTGCACCTGTCCTGGTCTTGTCTCTTCTTTTCCAGCATTCACTGCCCTTTCTTAAACATGTTTCCACAGAGACACCAGACTCATCATTGTTGGTCCAGTTGTGGGGTGCAATGGGTCAATTTTGTCCAGTGCCAAGCCAGCTGTGAGCAGCACAGAGCAGTCCCTGACCTCCTCCTGCACAAACAAAACCAACAATGATGTGCTCAAGCATGTCACCATGCTCTCTGTGACATGCTTTTCTATTCTTTCTTTCACCTGCTGGTGTTACTTTCACTGTTTTGGAAAATTATCTTCTATTTTCCTGCTGCGTGATTTGCTGAGCCTTTGTGAGATGAACACAGTAATACCTCATAAAGCTTTGGTATCAATAACAGGGTTATACACATCTATACGACACCTTAGGGGTCTCTAGAGATTGAAAAAAAATGCTCCAGAAGCCTTTTTCTTCTAGCCTTGGAATGGAATAGCTGTGAAAAATGTGCTGTTTAATCATAAAGTCTAACGTTGCTGCCAATACCGCTGCACCCCAGGGGAAGAGGGTGTCTGCCTGGTTTATTTCTTTTTCTTCTCCCATGGTTTCTTTTGTTCAATATCCCAAAGGAAGCGAATTCTCTTAAGTGTGGTTTCTGCTGAACAGGGAGAAATATTTTCTAAGGGAGCGCTGGGCAGCGCTGCAAGCACAGTTTTGGCCATGGATGGATGGGATGCTCCTCAGCAGGCAGGGTCAGGCTGGGGTGTGGAGGGGTGATGCAGAGTATGCTGCAAAATCCCAAGCAGGGAGCACAGCCACAGTATTCTGGGTTGTGTGCGGCAGCCAAGCTTTTCCTGGCTCGGCACCCAGCCAGGAAAGCAGTGGATGTGCCTTCAGAGCAGTGCAGGGAAATGGCAGTGGTTCTGGGAAGTGGGGCTTGTTTCGTTTTGATTTCTGAGAAACCATGTGCTTTAGGTTCCAGCGACAGAAGGAGGCGATGGCATCCTCTCCCCACCCAGCCATTCAGGATCCAGCAGTGCTGACTGACTGCAGAGCTTGTTGATGCCCCAGTCACAGGCACTGCAAAGCTGCCCGTGGTTTCTTCCCTGTGACAGTTCATGAAGTTTAACATTTAATATAAATAAACCTGTTGCCTATTTGTTCGGCAACAGGGCTTAATTCCCAGCTCAGCAGACACGCCTGTTGTAGAGGATGGCTGGAAGGGGGTTGGCAACTATAATTCTTATTTTCCCAGCACCCCCTGTGCCATCAGGCAGAGGTTAGAGCCCCCCAGAGCAGGTATTGCCAGCTTTATTGGATACTTAGCTTGAGATGCTGACACTCAGCGCTGCTTTTTCAGACATGACAAACACCAGCATCTGCTCCATGCTCACTATCTGAGGTTATCAACATTACAAGATCATCAAAACAAGCAAAATTAGGAGCTGTAATCACAGCTGTTTCTGTCAATGTCTGAATGCCAAAGCCCACAGAGCACATGGGTGGGAAAGACCTGGGGCTGACTCAAGCAGCTTTCCCAGCTGCCGCCAGACCATACTTCCCCCTCCTGTTGGAAAGCAGTGGCAGGCTCTGGCGGAGCTGTGTTGCAATCTGCACTGCTGAAACTACCAAGTCCAAAGATCAAGGAAAGAGCAGGCGTTCCCACCTTCTTAGGACCGAGTCACCCAGAATAGCCCTCACACAGTTTAAGAGCAGCACGATCTGACATGATAGAAATTTACACAGATTTCTGTTGAGAATACTTTTATTTTGCACATAGGATTTTAAATGTGAAAACAAAGGTGATGTATTCAAAATAGTCCAGCTTTTGTACATCATGGAGCATAGTATATATATATGGAGTAATTCTCTGAATGCTGCTTTAATGATTGACAGCATTAAATAACATAGCTAGCAGTGATTCCAGCACAGTCATTACAGCTAATAAAGATGGCAGCACTGAGTTTTCATGTAGTGTACCCAGCTAACCAAGTATTTTCACTGGGACAGGCTGGTGCTGAGCTACACCCTTAGTGAAGGGGGAAAAATACAACAAGACCCCAGGTGAGGCAACAGTAGTCACCACATCCCATCATCAGGCTGATGCCCAGCAGGTCTCCAACCAATAGCTACTTTGGAGAAACTCTGGCTGGTTTTATTGCTGAGCACGGAGTTACAGGGTACAGAACACGGCCTGGGTCAGCTGGGGTCAGCTGTGCTGGCTGTGTTCCTCTCCCAGCCCTTCGCTTCCCAACACCCCCTCCCTCCTCCAACCTCCTTGCTGCAGGAGTAGAGCAAGAAACGGAGACGGCCTTGCCACTGTGCAAGCACTGTTCAGCTATTGCTAAAACATCGGTGTGCCATCAACACCGTTTTTATCATAAACCACACAGCAACATACGGGTGGCTGTGACGAAAGCTAACTCCACCCCAGCCAGAGCCAGTACAACACAAGATCACATCGTTTTCTTGGATAAATTTGGGCTCACGCAGTTCATGCTATGCTGAACTTGGGCACAGGTGCTGTAGGCAGGAGGCAAAGAAACGAGCTTTTATGAACATGGAAATTACCAAGCCCAAGTCTGAGATGTAGAGGGTACCTAGAGCCCGATAGAGGAGCTCAGGCAGCAACATAAGCACTGCTCATATCTGTAATGTTACCACCTGTCATTTGTATCTACTCAGTCAGTTAGTACGATCAAACTACCCAATGGTTTAATGGAAACAACACTCCGACAGGTTTTGGATACAAGCTCCCAGACTACATTGAGTTACTGCACCACTGTCTTGACTGAGACATGAGCATGTGAATTACACACAATCTATGTAAGTGATGTCCTGAGGAGAACTGAAATCCATTCAGTGTCACCATTGGCAGAGTTAAACCTGGACTCCAGATGAAGAGACCTGATATCAGAGGAAGAAAGAATGTAGAAGGTATCAGGCTAAAAGAAATACTTATAGTCTGGTATAGCTGGAAGTTAAGACATCTGTCCAGAAGCTTTGTATCAAACACGAGTACAGAAGATTATATTGGTGATATGGACTATTCAGTGATGCAACAGGGCTAAGCTAGAAGGGCAAGAGATAAAGCAGCAGATAATCCTGCTGTCAGACACAACAGAAGGAGATGTGTTAGCCTGAAAGGGTGGTTGGTGAATAACGGAAGGAGCCATAGAATCATAGAATCACAGAGAATCAGACTAGCAAATTGTTAATCTGTGCAAGCAGAAGCCTGGATGATGAACTTCATGGTCCATTTGAATTGTCTGTTGCTGGGTTATTGTCTCTCACTGAAGCCTTGTTCTCCCTTGAGTTATTGTCCTTTCTGCTCAAGGTACTGAGAATTTACACAGATAAAAAATCAACTGTAATTGTCCATCTTTGTTTGGAAGTAATGTCAGTACATGTGGCTTTAAATTCAGTAAGCCCAAATTTAATATCCAGCTTCAGCTGGCGCTTCCTCCGAAGCTTTGTGTCTGGCATTGGCACTGTACAGGAGCCAAGGAATTCCATCCCTTCCTCATCTACATACTGAGCATCCTGCTTTTCTGTACAATAGAAAGAAAACTTTGCTTGTGTTTGATCTGCTTCTACTGGATGGAAATAATACTGGGCTTCTTTATTTATATTCACTGACTCATCAATTCCAACCAATTTCTTGAAGAGATCTGTACAATAAATATAGCCATCCTTTTCTGAGATCCTTTTTTTGCTGAGGTCATGGATAGCAGCATTGAATTCCTGAGCTACTGCTATGCCGTATGTCTGAGCACTGACTCTTGAGGCAACTATGCATGGATTGACTCCAAATAAAACAGCCCTTTTTACAATGCCTGCTTGGGCATCCAAAGGACAAAGGATATGATACCCCTCACTAAAGGCCTCACTGATCTCATCTCTCAAGATGATGCTAGATGAAAAGCCTCCTACAAGCAAAATGTACTGGACCTTGGCCATCTCAGGCTTGTCAAGAATTACCCTCAAAGTATGAATGATATTTCTGATCCTGTAATTAAAAAAGGTCTTCATTTTCTCATACGTAACCATGAATACCCTATCAGACCACACAACTCCATTGTGCTTTTTGAAGAAGTGGGAGATGTTCTTCTCGCACTCTGCCAGTTTGGTCAAGTTGTAGTAGCAACGTATGTAGACATCCTCTCTGCTAGCAGAACATTTCTGTAGATCAAAGTTGTACATCATATGTTGTAATTCAGTAGGGCATTTCTCTTCATATTCATTCCATACACCATCGTCAAATATTTCCCTGAGGAAATCAATGAAGTTTTGATCCACTCTGTTGCCTCTCCATCCACCTCCAGATGCCTTGTGTAATTCCTTCAGGTAATGGTTTTCTTGGCTCTCATGCACCGTGATGTCTATTGTGCCACCTACACACACACACAAACACAAATGACCTTAGCTGCTTTCTTTAAAGTACTCGAGGTCCTTACTTTCCACTGAATATAATCCAGTCCAAGTACAAATAAAAAGATCTCACAAAATAAATCTGTTTCAGAGCAATTTCTGTAGAGGTCACCCAAAAAGACCTGGTGAAAGAGAATGAGAAGCTGAAAAAGGAGGTCACAGAGCTAGAGAAAAGGTAAGGTATTTATTCAGATTTCTGATGCAATGTGCTTCTACGCTGAAAAAACACATACTTCTTGCTTCATCCAGTCCTTAGGGATCCTTTGTTTCTGACCAGATGCCCTAAACTCCATCTCCCCAGATTTTCAACCTGCTGTCACCTCTTTCCAACTGGAAGACAGCTTGGGTTGTTCTGGAAAGGGAAGGAGACATTCCCAGGGTGAATTCTTAATAAAAGATATCAGCCTACAATGACAGAGTCAAAATGCTGCTTTTTGATCACATTCCACTGTGATCATGTAAAACTGATCTAAGAAAGTACTGTTTCCCACACAAAAGGTGATTGCTAGCTACATAATATAGTTGTGAAGCACACTGTAGAAAACACGGGACTCATGAAATAAATTCATAACATGCTGTAAAATAATTACACTTACTCATTGTTACTCTTGTTGTAGCTAAGTTTTTTAATATCCTTCTTGCCCTAGAAACAAAGAGCTCTTGTCTAAAGCGATGGGCAGACACAAGGAGTCTAAGAACGTGAATGATGATTCACGTTTGTCTGCTGTGCTGGGCACGTATAATATACTCAAGCTACGTGACTGGGAAAAATTAAGGCAAAACATGACCAGTTTGACAAATAAAGATGGCAGCATCATGATTAAGGTATGATTATGTCCATTTTCTCAATCTGACTCTTATCAGATCAATATGGTGTAGCAGTATAGCAGACTCTGAGTATTAGTATTTTTGTGTCAGACAGGGTTGAGGACTAAGTTTGTGTCTCTGATTTCCCAGTCCGGCAGGGCCTGTGTAATGCTGCAGAGAGCAAACTGACAGTGACCTGCTTCTGCCTGACTTTCAGAAGGGCATATTCAAATCCCAGTCACAGATCTCTCCCATGTTAAGCACAAATGAGAAAACGCAGTTCAGTTTCCTTATGGATAATGCATTAAGTACTAGATGGGAGACCTCATTCTGATGTCTGACCCACTTGGTCTGATGGTGGGAGTATCTGAAGGAAAATACCAAAATGGTATACCTTAAAGGATGAGACTGAGATGAGGTATTATTAGCACTGTTTGCAGTGATAAGGCCCCACAGATGCTGAAGAATGGGCTTCAACAGGCTAACAGTTTGATGAAACAGTTTATTTACCAGGTATTGAAGATGTATTTCAACCAGTTAGTGGCCCTACAATTTACTCTACTGCAGATGTGTTTTCAGCACATGCTTTCCACACTACACTTCTCTTTTCACTGTGACTGCTGCTGTGATCAGCTGTTGTCTTTGCACTGCAGAAGCTGTTTGTTGCCTGTGAGACACATATCCAGGACACTATAGCTAAAGTAAATGAAGTTCTTGGCATTACACCTTTGGATGATGTTATGATCGACAGCAACCGGGTATTTCATGTTTCTGTATAACTGCACCTAGGCAGTGGGATAAAAGGGTCATCTGCATACACCATTCATTTAGAACTTAGCCTCTGCTAGGGACACTGCTCAAAATATATCAGCAATGACAGCTGAGAGGTTGAGGGTATGCAAAGCTGAGCTCCAGCAACCCTAAGTATGAGGTCAGCAATGGATAAAACAGGTATTTCTCTTTAAGAGGTAAGCTATTCCTGCGAGGAGCAGGGAGTTGGACTCGATCCTTGTGGGTCTCTTCTGGCTTGAGATTTTATGATTCTGTGTCCCCCAACAGACATACACAAGCTACATGTCTGAATTTTCCAGCCGGCCAAGGCACATATAGGAGTGTGGAGAGCATTTTCCAGCCATGTGTTGCTTTAATGGGACCTTCCTCCAAAGCTTGAAATGAATGACTTCTTCATTGCTGATTGACACAACCTGAGAAACAAAGATTCCCGGTGCTCAAGGACTGCACTGCTGGCTATGCCACATGCTAACAGTCTGCTTTGTGCTGTGCTTGCTTTGTAGGGGGTGATGCATGATACAAGAAATACCCTCAGGCATTCCCACTACAAAAAGCAACTAGAGTTTTACAGCAAAATTGTCATGGTGAGTAAAGGTACAGACCGGGAATAATGGCAGTGGTTAAATTTTATGGGATGTCTCTGCAGCTTGGTATTTAAAAAAAAAAAAGACAATGGAGGTGTCCCTTCTGCTTGAGGTTGTTTACCATTTGTAAACAACTTGATGAGGGTCTTCCAGCCCATGTACTTCCAAAATATTTTCAGAGCCATGCATACATGTAACCTTGTACGGAAGATACAGAGCTACACTGGAAGCAGTGGGGAACAGCAGGACAGGCAGGACAGCACCCTTACCAACATGGCACAGTCCTGCTGAACCCAAGCAAGGTGCAAAGAGCAGGACCGGTGGTGGTGATCAGGATCAGCCACAGCCCAGTGACGACTGGGCAAACCCACAGTGACCATAGAGGTCAAGTCCAAGCTGGGAAGTCAGTCTGTGGGGTCGGGGTCGGGGTCAGTGTCAGCCAAGCTGGGCACAAGCATCCTAACACCACAGCTTGGGCAAACACCCAGCTACCACTGAGTTTAAATCAGCTCCTGGGACAAGTGGTGGAGCATCTGTGGTTGGAGATGAGACTTTTCATAGCTCCTTTTCACAGTACCCTCTCTGCCAGTTTAGCTCTTTGCAGATCTCTCTCTGAGGAAACAGAGACAGTTGCTGGATGCCAGAACAGTCTTTTAAGTAACCCTTGGACCTCTGCTTGTCCACTCAAATGGTACCATCATCTTTGACAAAGCAAGTTCTTCAGTGCTAAGTTTATGGGGAGCAGCTACACACAAGAACAGGGAGGCAATGTAACATTACATCAACATAACATTACAAAGCTTTGTAAACTGTTCTCACTTGATTTTTCAGCAAGCTGGCATTGCCCCAAGAACCGAAACTGAAAGGGTGTTCACACTGAAGTGCTGCCAAGTTTATTGTTTGCTGTTTCTTCAGAGCCCACCAGTTAAAGCTGAGTGGAAAACACAGGGAAGCACAATAAAACATTTAGAGCACATCAACTGGAAAGAAGCAAAAAACTGGAGAAACCCAGCGTTACTGTGGCCCATAATGAAACTTGGGGAAGAAGTCGTTGTGAAAGGTGTAGTCTGGGATTAAAAGTAGCATGACTTCAGTCAAGCTACTCATTTACATGACCACAAGATGAAACAGCTGCTGCACAATATGCTGCTTTTCTTTCTCCCATGAACTGCCTGCTTTTCAGAGTTAGTAAGTTAGACGCTCAGGGCTTGGGGCTCCTAGGATAAATCATTATTTGCAAACTTATTTCAAATTGAAAATGCTTGCCTCAGTAGCATACATGTATTTCATGTAACATTTCTTTTTTGCTGCCTCTTAAGCAGCATTTGTGTGGAAAGAGAATCTGTATTTCTAGCCTACCCTACCTGCTCTTCACAAATGCTTATGACACTGTCAGGTAACAGGTTGGATCTCAGCCACCTCACTTGCCTCCTTACCAACAGCCAGTAGTAGGACCAACACTTTGCGGGACCCCTAACAGCAGTGCTATCTCTGCCCTCCCCTGCTTCCTATAGCAGGTGCACAAACTGTAGGCTCATGTTTTCCGCTTCAGCAGCGAGGCTGAAGATGGCCTGTTGGGAAGCAGGCATCCTTCTTGAGTAAAAATGTCCTTACCTGAGAAAATAGATGAAGGCACTAAAAGACAAGGTTCACAAAGGCTACAATGGGCTTTCAGAAGGCAGGTGTGCATAGGTATGTGTACCCAGGCACAGACACTGAGGCCCACTATTAACATGCCAAAAGGCCACTTGTCTTAACACAAATGCCTCCTGCCTGTTAGTACTCAGCTGCTTTCCCATGTCCGTACAATTTACCCTTCAGCTCATACCTGCCACAGCTCTTGATCAAAGTGCTCTGAAAGGTTTATTTCACAGCATAAGGGGGTTGCAATGGGGCAAAAGTATGCTTACGTGCTCATGTAACAAAATATTCAGTGAGAAACTTGAGATCTGCCAAATATAATAGACTGGAAATCCTGCTCTGTGCCTGATGAGTCCTTTCCTGCAGTTCTGCTTTCTAGTCCATCAGTTTCCTTGGCTACACAACCCTCCTGGCATTTTCTCAAGGGACCCTAGAAAGAAAGGCAAATTGCTGTGCAGCTCTCTGCAAGCAAATTGCTTTGCTTCTCTCAGGAATCCACTGTTCTGTGAGTGTGTTTCAGGTCACTGACAACAGAATCACAGACCTGTTAAGGCTGGAAGGGACCTCTGGAGATCATCCAGTCCAACCCCCCTGCCAAGGCAGGGCCACCCAGAGCAGGTTACACAGGAATGTGTCCAGGTGGGTTTTGAATGTCTCCAAAGAAGGAAGCGCCAGCTGGGATCCAGCTATGTGCAAATAAATTGGCTTTTACAAAACCAGAGTATTCTGAGAAACTGGCTGCAGAAGACCTTTACTGGAAATATTTATTAGGGAATAGAGCAAATGAATTAAAATTACATATGCCCCGTATTTCCTACAACTTCCTCAAAAAGAAAGAACCACAACAGTTAGTTTTTCATACCTTGTAAGGTGTTGCAGACTAAGGTGTTGCAGACTAAGTGGGCAGACTAAGCTGGACACTTCATCTTGCCAGGTAAATGACAGGGAAGTTGTCCAGTACCAGCAAGTAGGAGCTTCAGCATGACCCTGAGCCAAATGCCATGTGATTATATAGGTTTAATAGTACGTCTATGCAAGCTGCCATGCTCTATTTGTTACCTGCTTAGAAATTTTGTTAGCACTTTGGAGCAATCAACAAAACACTGTTGCTTTAGACAGGTCACTGCGTGCAAGCATAACGGTTGTGGCTGCTGCTGCTGGTTGTCCTGAGATAGCCTGAAACCTCCAAACAAGAATGTCCCTGAAGAACAGGTGGAGTCACATACATACACCCTGCCTTCCTCCATGTTGTACAGGATACAATCATGAAATAATCCAGAGCTGTCTTCCCTTTGTTCTTTGGCTCTATACCATCATTGAGAGACTTCTTGGAGAAATGCTGCTGATAGTCCTGAAATGTTCTCCCACAACTTCTTCCACCCTCTGTCTCTTGCGGACAAGGCAACTCTTCCAGAGCTTGAGAAGTGTATTGCATTTCCCATCACCTCCTCTCCCTCCTCCTCTCCCTTTTCATCAGTCAACACAACTATGCAAGAAACTCCCCCTCACTCAGTCTCATTTGCTATCTAAGCCAAGCTAAGACAGTTCTGACCTAGATTTTCTCCAAATCTCAGTGTAGATCCTCAGACGTTTTCCCTGCTCATAGATTCTTCATCCAGAAGAAGGGGGGCAAGTCTACCCATATCTCACAGATGGACAGAAAATTTTGGGAGTCTAAGTTTGCTCATCCCAGACAGAGAAAACATCTATGGCAAGATAAGAGCTGTGTACAAATAAATTCAGATAGCCAAGTGGGTTAGATCCTCCTCCTGGCAT